TTCTTCGGTTTTAGGTTACAATTGTTAGTATTGATATCATGGAGTCTTGGACTAGATTACTCAAAGTCTATTCATGAATTGAAAGAATGGTTGAGGAATGAATGTCATAAATGCCATCTAATGGCCAGTATTTTTCTCTTTCAACTATTGATTTCAGCTATTTCTATTCATCGATCGAGTATCACCATAAAATCCAGTCAAGAGGAAGGCTGGAGTAAAGACGTCAGACATTTTCTGATGGCATCATATACATTTGTTCTTCTCTAAAATGAAAGCAGAATGACTGTCAATGCCGAGTGTATTCATGCACTCACGCAAACATCAATGCAGAACAGAATCTCTCTTAAGAGTAGAATTCTAGTTCATTTCCCATCTGTGAGTGTTATTCACACACATGAAGCCAACCAAAATGAGCATCTTTTAAGCATAAATATGTATACTTTTACATGAAGTATGAAGTGTTTTTTTGGAGTTGTCTAGACATTGAAATATTCTAGATTGGGACAAGTGTGGTAACAGAGTTCTTGAAGTTAATGTAGGTTGACACTTGAAGGGAAATTTTTTCGTTTCATTTTTCAAACAGTTCATACATTTATAGTTTATTTGTAGAGATGTATAAAAATCAGAGTGGGTTGTAAGGAGAGAAAGAAAAGTAGAAGTCAATTGTCTCTGGAATATGTCTCTCTTTCGTATATATTTCTTTCAAGGTGATTATTATTACTACTAGTCTTCATATGGTCTGCAATAGGAATACAGTTTTCCAATGGCGCTTCTCCATTTGTCCTATTTTCTGTTGTCTTCTTAAGCTAGAACCACTATTGCCGGCATCTTCTTCTAGCACAGTCACTCTCATATCACTCTTAGACTCAGATGCAACTCGATGTTTCTATTCGAACCTATTCCAACAGTTACTTATCGCTTATCCTCTACATTAGGCGACCTGATCGTCAGTATGGAATGAAGGCAGAAATTGAATAAAGTCTCCAGTGGTATGTCGGAATTACTTTTCATGATGCTTTCATCAACTTCCCGACCCATGGAAAAGAATTGAATTGACACTAGGTTTGATGATTCCAGCCTTGTTTTTTCATATTAAGTTCACACTCTTTCCAAACTAATTTCAGAGAAATGAAAATGTGTCTTGACTTCCTCATGCTGTTTGGTTGGCTGGTTATCTACATCATCCCCTTCTTCTTAATGTTCATTTGAAGTCTTGTATTCACTGGTTGTTTCTTCAGTCAGTTTGTTGGTTTTTGCCGGTACATCTTCAAGCTTGTGTGACATTAGACACATAAATATAGGTCTTCGAGAGTCTTGTTATCGGTCCAGCACATCCCTGTCTTCGCGCTCCTCCCCAGATATGATGTTTGCCATAATTCCATGCACCATAATTAAGAAAATCATTGGTGATAATACTCAGGCAGGCAGGTATCCTTTCCTTAGTCCTTTATTCACTGCTAGTAATGCCCATTTATTATTGAATTGATCTTTCACTTCCATGTTGAATATCTTCATCCCAAATGGTTTATTTCATCATTCCTTTCAGCGGGATGGTGTCTACTGCACAGCTTCCGCGATCTCATCCACGAGAAGTACTTGGGACTATGAAAAAACTTGCCAATAACCCAATTTGTGCTTTTAGCGGGAAATCACCACCACATTGTTTTTGTTAACTATCCTTATCTGATACTATTAACAGTTATACTGGTGACAAAAATTGATAATTAACTGCTTTTTTGACCATGGACTGATATCAATAAGAAAAGTTTTGAAAACCTCCTGTGAGTATTAGATAGCTGTTTTGTCAGCCTAGTTTGAAACTTATTGACAGTGGACAAGTACCGACCTGTAGGCTTTTGAACCTAGGACCTTTTAGTTACAAGGTGAGCTCACAAACCGTACAGCCACTGAAAAACTGATTCTAAGTTCAGCCTATGAATGTTAACCATCTAATAGTTCGAAATTTCAATGTGAGCGAGTATTTCCCTTTAATTCTGAACTGGTAGACCCTGCTGGTCACGAATCCCCACTAGACGCACAGCATTCAGCTACATCTTTTGGCTAGCCGGTTACTAATTATCGAGAATCGGATTTGTTTTCATGAACCAATGTCAAGGCATTTGACTTCTTTCAAGTTTCATGACTGATCGGCATCATTCAGAGGATCACTGAAAAAATCTCCTTTGGATATTAGAAAGCTGTTTCTTCAGTCTAGTTTGGTAGCAATTGACAGGATGGATGCACCGGGGGTGGAACACACGTTCATCGGTTTACAAGTCAACCGTGTAGATGACTCAGTCACTACAACCCAGTCCAATGATCTGTCAATGAATCACAACCTCTACAGATTTGTAGGCTTTACCATATGCTGAACAAAAGCGGATAGACAAATCAATCTCATATTTTGGTTAAAAGCGTTCAGAATTTCACTACATGAGATTGTTGAGTACACACAGCCAATTAAACAGCGTTATTATTATTAACTGGATGTCATAGTGTTGAAAACAAATTATTGTTTTTATGAATACATCACAAGATGTAAATACGGCAGTTCAGATGCTGAATAATATAGTTCTCTTCCCTTCCTTCATTCTTTCCAGTTTGTCATAGGGTAAGAGGGAGTTTCCAGTGTTGACTCGATAATTAAAACTTCAGCTGTCAATCTCTATTCCCTCATTCTGTCATGATCTACTTCGTCACTGTCATCTTATCTCATCTCACTGTATGGTCGAGTGTGGTGCTACAGCTCAGCTATTTCTAAGGTTTCTTATCATATTTCTGTATACAGGTGTTTGTGTTCTGTCAGTTTGATTAACAGCGTTCTTCTATGTAGTGACCAATCCATTTGACCTGACAATCATTCCATAGGGTATTAGAAATACTGAAATATTTATTCACTGGGCTCCATAGGATGTTTTAACGAACATCATTTCTTTCTGATTGAATTTTGTTGGTCAGAAGTATTACATAGAGTGTGAGGGGTTCTTTGATTTTATGGGACTACCACTAATTATTTTAAACACAATGGTAAAGTTGATCTAATACTCTGCAATAATCTTGATGTCAAAAGCAAAGAACAGAGTATTGTGCTATCGTCAATTAGGTCAACGCAGAAGAATGGTCATTAGAATAGATCGGATTTGGCATTACATGCGATTACATACAACCATAGAATAGGATTAGATAAGATGACAGTTTCGAAATCTAATATGAGCTTTTGAAGAGAGGCATTGAATAAATTGAACCCAAAGAGAATGTAGTAGGTGTAGTAGGGCTAACTCAACACCTCTCGTGAACATTTGGAATATTCTCCTACTCTGTCGACAAACGGGAAAGAATGAACGAAATTTTTCCATATTGAGTCATAAGAAAAAGCGTAAACAGTGAAGAAAATTTTCCTTTCATGGGCTGTACAATCGTAATTATAGTTAACAAAGAAGTCTTTAGACCAACCAGATACTGGTGGACTTTGTCCTCCGAAAATGTATTACGTAATGTAAGGTGTAACCTAAAAGGGATGACTACTTATAAGTTAGAAAAGAGGCAGACGTTGGCATGACGTAATAAGTGTGAGATAATGACTAATCAATAAGCTGGTGTAGAATGAACAGGAAATAGTGGAAAGGCGATTAAGTGTTTTTATATAAAATCTGCATGAAAAAGCATTGTTATTAATAAACAGTAATAGAGCGATAATAAAATATGGAAATGGGAATAATAATGATAATAAAATAATGGTAGTAATAACAATAGTAATAGTAAACTTACATAATAAAAAAGAAGAAGCAAAACTATAGTAGGCACCTTTCTCTGGCCACAGTAGGGCGAGTGAATGTATGTACCGCTTTTGACTGCAGAGGTCCAGTTTCAAATCCCGAATAGCTAATGCTTCAACCATGTATAGATGGCGTATGCGGAGTCCCTTTGTACGATACTGAGGGACTCTGTGTATCACTGTGAAGCATTCATGTGGTAGTGCTTGATGTGCGGAAATGATAAGGTGTTCGAGGATGGAGCTGTCAGTATTCTTCACTTCTCCTCTGGCTGGCTAACCAATCTGGGCAGTGTTCCAGAATACGTTTGTGGACTTGAAGTTGCGTACGGCCGATATACTGTGCTCCACACGAGCAAGTAAATTGATAAATACACATTGAAGTGATCGAAATCGGTATCTTATCCTTAACGTTAGACTGGATTAACTGTCTGCTGGAGAATGTGATAAGCAACGTAGCTGTTTGAAATGTCCTCTTCAGATACTTAGAAAGGTGGTTTCTAAGAATTTCTGCTTCGATGTCAACTTTGAATTCCGGGTTTATAAAGAGAGTTTTCCTAGGGATAGTTGCGATGTTTGGTGACGAAGACTTCTCTTTCATGTTTTTGTCTATGAATCTTGGTTGTATACCCGTTGTCTATTAGGGTTTCAAGCAATAAATCTAATTCTTTCTCCATCATGTCTTTCAAACAGATTTTTCTAATCTTTGAACTTAATATACCTACCAGGTTTCGCTTTCGGATCAGCGGGACGAAGCTCTGGAATTTGATAAAGTGTCCCATCTATGTTGGTTTGCGATATATCGATCTTTGGATCGTACAGTCTTGTCTTCGGGTAATTAGTACATCGAGGAATGGATATGCCATGTTCGATTCATGTTCTAAGGTGAATTTTATTGATGGGTGTGCTGCGTTGAAGGTTTTGAGGAGATACTAAGAATCAAATTTTTCATCACAAATTATGAACGTGTCATCTACGTATCTCATGTATAAGTGCATTTGATTTTTCAAAGAATCGAGGATGTTGTTTTTGAGACTCGCCATGAAGCAATCGGCTAGGAAAGAAGATGGGAGAACCATAACACACAAGTTTTGAAGTTGTGTTATTACAATTGATGATAGGATTATAAAAAAATTCTCTAATTCAGAAATCAACAAATCTAACTCTAATCCTGTCATTCTATGTCGATATTCACCCTAATCCTCATTATATTTCCTCTCCTTTGTAGATATGTCATTCAATTCTACCTCATATGTTGATATTCATTTCTTATGCGCTTCTGGGCTATACAGCATTGAGAAAAAGTCGTATTCTCAAGACAACTATGACAAATATGCAACAGCCAAGAGTGCTCAGAATACAATCTACGCTTACTTCACGAGAAGTAGACCAAACCACATCGACCCCAACAACAGCAACAACAACAACAACAACAACTCGAAGGACACCCATTAAACCTCCTAGGAAAAAACCTTCTCATTCATTGTTCACAGAACCAACACAATTAGTTATATACTTGGGAATTATAAATTTTGCTTTTGAATTTGCAGAAATTATAGAATGGTTTTACATGGAATATATAATGAGTAATATTTTTCAACCGATCACAAACCATTACGAGCAAAATTTCATATTCAACAGTAATATCAGTACTATTATGGACAGTGCAAAGACCAGCGAGAATAACATTATAACCAATAGTATTAATAGTAATAATAATAATTTGAATGTGAATATTCATATTAACAATACTCTACGTCTCCAGGATACATTACACAGTAGCAAGGGACTTACAGAATCAATGCATCGAATGTGTTCATACCATTTAACCACTGGTTTATTAAGAATATGGGCTAGTCAGCGTTTTCTGCTTACATTGCCAATATTATTCTTCAATTCAGCAAAATTTCGACATGTTATTCAATACTTTTTCAGGTATTACTTTCAAACATTGAAAATTCAACATTTGTTTAAAATAAGTTTTAAGGCGCAAAATTCAAATTTTCAAAATCCACCATTAAAACTATTGATTTCTTCAAATAGTAATCATGATAATCATAGTAATAGTAATAATAATGATAGTAAAATGAATGACACTATAAACACTGACAAAGATGATATTGACATTCAGGGGAATGAAAATACCTATGAACATGATACTGGCATAGAGATGAAAAGAATTCCAAGACTGTATTGTTGTTCATGTATTACACAACCGTTAATTATGAATGATGTGAGTGGGCGGTGATACAGACGAAAAGTTGTAAAGAAAATATTCCTAGAATATTTTTATTACATTACGTTGTATATTCTGTGTGAATCTGAATGAGTATAACTTGTGAATATATATAAATATATTGTATATTTATTTATACATAAACACTTACCTCATGATTTTCACTTTGCTTATCTGGTATGTTATCAAAGAGTTTGGTTCTCATTAAGTGACAAACTGAGAATTCATCAGTGGGTGTTAGAGAGGTTATATTCGTGTAACATGATGCCATAATATAATGAGGGGGGGGGGAAGATCTGTGGCAGAGGTGGATGATTTTACTGTAGTTGTGTTATCTAGTCTAGATGATTTACTTGCGAACCTTTCATTGTCTTACCAGACAACATCCTCGTGAGCGCACACTTCAAGTTGAAGTGAGCTTTTAAATTTTTCCACGAGTTTATTTATCATCTGTGATGGTAAGCTTAGCAGGACCAGATGGAATTCCCCCAGAAACACTGAAAAAGGATACAGTCTGTCTGTCTGTTTTCGAAATAGAACTTTGCACATATGTGCGGCAGTTCAAGTCGCCACACTCCATGTAGCACACAAAGCAAGAGAAGAAAGTAGGAGAAATGCAGAATATAGACAGTAAACAGAGGTGTGAGACAAAGGAATAGTAATAACGAAGAACAAAACAGTTTCATTGGAAATCAAAAGTCACAAGAAGTGGATGCATCTGCACCAGCCACTGAGAACGATTTTGAGCCATATCACCAATTGTTTCCAACCATTGGTTTTTACCGTCCCAAAGACTCCAACCAGGAAGTCTACACCTTCCTACGTGGCTGGCTTAAACTAATTGTTGTAGATTTCATTGACTGATGCCATGTTTTTGTTTGACCGCCGCTAGCTCTTTTCCAGCTTGACCCTATATCAGCTAACATTGCCTGTTGTCGAGGAAGGTGATGACTACGCATACGTAACACATTTCCTAACCATCTCAGTCGATGTAATTTCACAGTCTCGTCGACTGATTTCCCCTCCCCTCACCTAGCACTCGACGCATAACGTCAATATTGCTCACCTTATTATACCACTTCACACGGGAGATAGAACGCAGACACCTATGATCAAAGACAGCTAATCTTTTCATGTCTTCCGCTCTCAATGGCCACGTCTCACAGCCATAAAGGAGGACGGAGCGGACTGTTGAGCAGTACACACGCCGTTTGCTCGATAATCGGATATCACGTCTACGCCAGAGATTGTGTAAACTGGCATGTGCGAAACTAGCCCTCTGTATTCGCACTGAGATTTCGTCAGACATCAAACCGTTGGCATTGGCTGATGGAACTTCCTGAATAAGTGAAGTGGTCAACGTGCTCTACCACTTCCTATTTCTAATCTAGGAGTCGGTGTAGTCCAATCCTGTAACATCATCTTACATTTTACAGGGGCGAATCGCATGCCAAACATACGAAGATTGCTGCTCAAGGTGTACAGAAGACTCTGCATTTTTTCAGCGTCCTCGCCTAGAAGGACTATATCGTCTGCATATTCTAAGTCAACGAGATTATTCCCTGGTAGCAAGTCAATCCCTGAGTCTCTGAAGCGAGTTAGGGTTAGGGAAAAATGACACAGAGGCTGCAGCGAATAGGATGATGCCATTATTGTAGAAGGTTTGGAAGGAAGGGAAGGTGCCTACTGACTGAAAGAAAGACTATCTTGTAAGTTACCAAAAAAGGGCGAATTAGGTATCTCTTTGCGAGAACTAGCGTGAAATCATGCTCATGTCCATGTCGAGTAAAATACTAATTGGCGTCGTTCTGGAGAAAATAAAGCATGCATTGGATAAAAACTTCACCGGACCAGAGCAAGGTATGATTCAGGAGAAGTCAATCATGTGCTGATCACATTGAGACTCTACGTATCGTCATCTCAGAACAAAGCATAGAATGACAGTCGAACCACTCTCTGCCTCAATTTCATCGACTCCGAAAAGGCCTTCGACAGCGCTGGCTTTGAAGTAATTTGGAAACTGCCTCAACAATTTGGCGTAAAATGCCCAAGACTTTATCAACTTCATTCAACAGCTAGCTATATGACAATGCCACGTGTCAAGTTGTCCACAAAAAAAAGTCTGAGAAGCGTTTGAAGCTAATCAGGAGTAATACAGGGCTGCCTATTATAACCGATGATATTATTTATTGTGGTTGACTGGATTACGTCGAAGACTCCATGGAATGAGAAGACAGGATTATACTTGACAGATAAAAAGACTCTATAAGATCTGGATTTCTCAGATGATATCTGTCTAATAGCACAAAAACTCTAAGAAATACAGGCGAAAAGCAACAAACTGGCTAAAGAAGCAGGCAGTGAAGACAGGAATCCAGGTGAACATAGATAAGGTGGTGGTGATGAAGATAACCAAACAACAGCAACAACAACCAGGCCCAATCACCATCAATGAGAAAGATTTGATAGGATGAATTCCTTCACTTATCTAGGCAGTGAGCATTGTTTCAACCACAGGCGGTCGGAACGGACGAAATTGTCAACACCAGCCGGATTTGACTGCAGACTTTTATCGATAGTTGCTTTCTCTGGCTCCATACTGCAGATCAGATAGTGGGAAAGAACTAGCAGCCCGAAAATCTGAGAACAATCTAACCAAGAATCGACTGTTCAACAAATAAGCGGAAGAAAACAGAGATGCATAGAGCATACACTGAGGTGGCCGTCCAGTGACACTGAGCGTTGAGTCGTCTCTATAGTGGATTTCCGATGGGAAACGATGAGTTTAACTTCAGTCCTAAGGTGTTATGCAGGAGATGGTATGAGGTGGAGCTGAGAGATTATTGGCGATCATAGATCCATTTGAAGAGGACTGCAGAAAATAGAACAAAGTGAAGATATGTTGTTGAAAGCTCATGTCCAACTCGGTAGCCAAGGGAATAAAAATGATGAAATGGTTATTTTGAACGTGACTGGTAGTTTCTTTGAATGTTTTCACCCTCCAGTCTACTTTGATTTGTACTGATTGTTTCCTAAACAAAATTCCCTGGCATTATTTGGAAGCCTGGTATTTCAGTGAATCATCCATTAATGGCCACATTGAAATAAGCGAGATTTAACAATCTATAAGAATGAAATCTCATGCACTCAAAGTCATGTCAAGGAAACAATCACTAGAAATACAAATAAACTGGAGAGTGTGTAAACAGATAAAAGCAACCAGTCACGCTCAAAATTACCAAGAGGTTTGACTAACAAACTCGTGGTGAAATTTAAAAGGCCACTTGAATTTAAGTATGCGCGTCTTTCCGGCAGCCTACTTAAACCATTGGGCTACTAGAATTTCCATATGTTAAAATGCCTAAACTCTTCTGGTGCAATTATATTGAATGAACACTATATGAACTAGCGCGCATATTAAATTATCTGCCAACGGAAAAGTGCGTAATTCTTTAAGAAAATGAAGCAGAAGCCTAAATAAATGGTTCTCTCTGTTCATATTGAAAAAAGCCACGTAACACGGTAGACTTCCGATTACTACTTTATTTGTAAATTCTCTATGAAGACGAAATATTTCGAAACTAAATGTGCACTGAAACTTTTTGTCTGAAATAAAGCTTTATTGTTAGGATTCAAAATGACATTGCCTAGTAAGGCAATGAAAGTATCGAAGGTAAACCGACAAGCTGGCTTTCGAACTTAACTACACAAAAGCAAAACCATGAAGTTTGTTATTCTCTCATTATTTTGAAGCCAGCTGATGACATTCCTGACTGTGGTGCACTGGATTCTGCGACAAACTGTTGAAGAGCGAAAAGAAAGACGAATGGTAAAGCTAGAAAATGAACTTTAAAAGGTTTGTACTTTGTGGACGGTATATGTCTTATGTTATATCAACATGAAAATCAACAAGTTAGCAGAAGAAATAGACAGTGGAGGCATGACACACAAAAGACAGAGGTTATGATGATAGCTTATCAACAAGAACAGCAATAAAAACAATAATGGCAGTCAAGAATCACTATAAACAAGAGAAATCGGAAGTAAGGTAACTCTTTCACCTGTCTAGGCAACATCATTGCAAATATAGGCTACGTGACTGAGGATATCAAAGGAAATCAGCCGGAAAGTTACTGTGGAAATCAGCTACTGTCATCAGTTTACGGAACAAGATTCGAAATTTCAGCACTGATCTTAAGTCATTCATTACTTTCACATATTTAAAGCGGGTAATATTCACTGAAGACATACTTGATGAGGAAGGAAGAAAGTTGACACAAACTCTGGTTGATAACAATGATCCAGACAAGTTGATCAGGAGATATAAAGTAGTCAGAACGCCAAGACCCATTCTCTAAGAAAGACGTGTACATCAAGCTACCCTATATGAGGGATCATAGCAGCTTGACAACTAGACAAAGATTGAATGTTGCTGTTGGAAAGAGTTGTTATGCACCTGAGATCATAATAATTGAGAATGTGAAGCCAATATATCCATCTAAGCCGTGTGAACATGTGAAAAATACTGTCACATGCCACTGTTTTTATAACAATTTGAATGTACGTGTGGACACACAAACATAGGGAGGACTCATCGATCTTTGCAAGTAATCATATCAAGTTGTGGTTATGATTATGAGTGGCAATAGTTTGTGCTCGAAACGCTATTATTATTATTATATCCTTCAATTCGTAGAGGAACACAGGGCTTCAGCCGTGCGTCTCCATTGAGTTCTGTTCTCTGCTAGAGTCTTCACCTGGCTCCATGTCTGCCCACACGTTTTCATCTCCTCTTCACATGACCTCCTCCAAGTCACCCTTCCACTGACGACCAACTCGCCGCTTCCATTTCGGGTTCCACTCGAGCAATGGCATGTCTAGTGATGTCACTTGATGGCTTGTTTCCTCAGAGTATGTCCAGCCAATCCATCTCCATTTCCTTTTGCCTATTTGTTTCACAATCGGTTCCTGCTGGGTTGGTTCGCTCATTGCCAGTGATCTCTGTTGCTGATCTTTTCTGGTCATCTGATCTTGAGTATTGAGCGAAGACAACTGTTAATGAAGGTCTGTAGTTTGCTTGAGATGCTCTTTATGACGCGCGGTGGAAGTCTCTGATCCGAATAGTGAGTAACACTGACTTCACAT